ATTCCTTTGCGCTATCTGATCTGGCAGCGTCCTCCATCCCAAGGTCAAATGCATTTGACCGAGAAGAAGGAGGAGAGGAAAATGGTGATGTAGATGACGATGATGACCCAAGGCATTGCCATCTTTTCCAGAAGGGTACCTGTAAATACGCAAATCCTGCCTTTAAAGCTCCAAAGACGACTCACTGGATTGGTTGTGATTATCCAGGGTGCGACAACTGGTTCCACGAATCATGCTTAAATCTCAAATTCTCTACAGACTCAGAGAGAGAAACGTATGCCTTTGTTTGTACATCGCATGGGGAACGTAAAAGGGATGGAACAATATAAGGACCTAGTTGCTGCGACGGCGTCAGATATTTCCATGATGGAGGAAGACGAGCAGAATGAAGGCACGTTCCACTTGAAGAGACGAAGGAGATTTAATTACGGGAGAAAACATCAGCAGCTTCACAATGTTCAGTTCCACCCAACTATGTTGAGTATGATGGAGAATTTTATCACATTGCGGAATTTTTGTCTCTTCAGCAGGGAAAAGTGTATAAGCCATCTACTTCTAGAATGGCTAGATGGATGGCTGTCTCAAGGAATGATTTCTCTGAACGGGTAGAAAGGCTCGTAGCACCAACTAGATCAGAAAACGGACTATATTTTGAGGATATAGCGGCATTCTGGGTCCCACGCCTCGGTATGAGATGCGGTTTGGTATTGCGGCTGGTGCGTGACACGTTTTCTAAATCCCCTGTTCCTGTCTTTGAGTGGAAGAAAGGAAACGACTCGAAAGAAAAATATCAGTTTGCTTTCAAGTTCTTTCGATCTTAAAAAGGAAAATAGCAAGTGGTTGTTATCACCCACAAAAGAAATAATGTGGAGTGAATGCAAAACACATTTGCTAACTTTCGAAACCTCAAGGGGAAAGAAAGTGGCCTTTGAAAGTAGACGCGGAGGCGATGGAAATTCTACTGCCAAAGCTGGAAGAGGAAGAAGAAGAGTCTCGGAGGAAGGAGGAGAAACTGAAAGAGTTAGAAAAGGAGAAACGTAAAATGGGGCCACCAGAAGACATGACTGTCTTCCTTCTCAAAGAGGTGTTAGACAGTCTAAATGTGACCTATAGATCCAACGAAGAAAAACCAGAACTTATAGCAAAAGTCCGTCAAGCTCGTGAGAACTTACAGGAAGGAGAAACTCACTCAACCTCAAGATATATTGGAAAGAAGAAGAGCAGAAAATTCAAAGCCTGCTTAACTTTGAATAATAACATAGCTTGCTTATACTATTACGATGAGAGAAAAGAGAAACTTCTCCAGATCCTTTCTCACCTATTGTTTCTCTTGGAAATTGTTGGAGCATATTTGCAATGCATTCTTTTCGTACAAATTGTAACTTTTATTCTCGCGGTCTATTGCCTTTTGTTGTGTCATTCATGTGTAATGACCTTTTTGCTCACTTGATTCATTTACGTCGCGTGTGGATGGAGGTGTTATCTTCTTGGCTGTTCGCTCAAGTTAATTTACAACAAATACTTGGTGAAACAGTTGTTACTTATTAGCGACCTTTAGATTTGACTACGAGTACGAAATTGAGTACGAGTACGACTTTGGAATTTCGATATAATTGTATCCCCCGAACTATAACTCTTTCCTGTTGCTGACTAACACACAAATAAACGTTAGGGATAATATTGGTGTGATAAGTAGTTATATGATGCGGACGAATTTGGTTTGAAAACTTCGTACTGTACTCAATCTCGTACTCGTAGTCCAATCTAAAGGTCTCTATTTACTCGCTCACGCGTAACAAAGTTGGTTTACCTAAAACTGAACGAGCATCGTTTTTTGCGTTTTTTTTTTTTCTCTCGTTATCGTTGAGCATGTTTCAATTTTTGAGTCTAGCGACAAGTGCATTATTATTACAGTTTTAAAAACCTTTGTAGTTTGTTTACAGTACATTAAGGCTGATTAAAGGTATTTTATATTATCGACTCAAGGTGTGGGATAAAGAAAGCGTATGTGTTAACTCCAGAGTACAGTACGTTGAAGCCACCGACAAACCGCATGCGGTTTAAGACCGGCTAGGGTTAACTTTACGTCTCGTCCGTCCTTAACTGCCTATACCGGTCTTTTAACTGCTTTCAGTCTTTTATCGTCGTTTCCTTGACAGGAAATATCAAGAACGGGTACTATTTCCCGTTTTTTGGCCTTACGATATCCATTTGCCTTTTGTTCCTTGCTTTTAAGCTCTGTCTTCTTCTTTGTCTGAGTTCCATTGACGAAATCGATATTTTTGATAGAAATCGATAGAAATCGATTAAAATCGAACTATAATTACAGAAATCGATAAAATCAATCAAAATCGATAATCACAAAAACCTCCGCTATCGATTTCTATCGATTTTCGATATTAATCAAGTAATTAGTATCGAAAATTATCGATTACAATCGATTTTATCGAGTATCGAAATTATCGATTTGTAACGCCTCGGAATAAGCTACTACTCGATCAGATTCTGGCGGATTTAATACAGTAGAACCTCGATAACTCGAACTCGGATAACTCGAATTCCCCGCTAAGTCGAACTAAATTTGCTTTTTCTTGATCAAGATTTCACTGAAATTTACCCCGATAACTCGAATTCCCCACTTAAAATCGAACTATTTTTCGTTTCCCTTTAGAGTTCGAGTCACCGCCGGGGTTCTACTGTAGTCATGAACAAGTATGTTTAAACGCCATGTACTACAAGTATTTTAGTTTCCAGTTCATTATTTTGTTCTCAGTTTGAGACCTGAATTAAAAGAGCGGCTTAATAAGGGCTTAGCAGATAAGCTTGCTGGAAGCAAGTTGGCCTGACTTTTTCTTTTTTTACATATATGTTCCCGCTGTAAAATTAATTCAATCAAGACTCTTTTGCTGTATTATTCCAGTTACAAATGTGTCCCACAATTTTTCAATAATGACTCAGGAACAATTTATATCTCAGGACTTTAATTGTTTTATTCAATTTTTTAAAAAACAAAACATGTACCATAAGATGTGATTTTGAACATTATTATCATAAACTTGTTTAAATGCAATTTCCATGCTTTCTCCAGTTGGTAATTAATCATTAAATTTGCATATACTTTACTATCCTGGCATTGGATGTGGATTGATGACATGATGTTAAACCTGTAAACTCCTAGAATTCCTAGGAATTACTAGGAATTTCTAAGAATTTTTTGTCCTTTAAAATCTTGTAGGTTGGAATTCCTAGGAATTCCTAGGAATTCCAAGTCTAGTTTCATTTCCATTTGGAATTTCCGGGAATTTCTAGGAATTTAGAACCAGAACTTTTTAAACTGGTAATTCCTAGGAATTCCTAGGATTTTTTTTCCTAGGAATTCCTAGGAACTCCAAAAGTTATTTCGCAAGGGGATGAGGGTATAATCCGAGTTGGAGGACATATGGACAAGGCAATCGTGTCATATGAAACGAAGCATCCTGCGTTGCTGCCACATGACCATAAGATATCCTGTCTAATCATGCAGGAAGCCCATCAATGTGGACACCCAGGAGTGGCAACAACAG